CAGCTTCAACCCAGAAATTGGGTTATGAAAATAACCCAGCATTTTTTACTGTGTAGCATAATCCTTTATTAACCCAACATTGGGAAAGTTCACTTGTTTCAGCATCACAGTACCAAAATATACTCAACTGAATATAAAAATATCTTACAACAGTATACCCAACTGTATATTTAAAGTACTTATAGATAAAATAAAATAAAAATTAAATAGGAACCTGAAAATAAAGGAGATTTTAATAACAGAATAAATGAATACAGATATGTTCTTTGTATGTTCATTTCAGTTTTACAGAATTCATGCAGTAATATAAAATACAGTCATGTTTAAAAAAATGGAATATCATTGAACAGTTTGTTTAATAATGTTTATAATGTGTTTAAGTGAAACACGTTTTAGCTGAATTCCACACACACTGATGTTTTAAGGTATTTATTTCTGTTAATTATGACGATTTTCAACATTTGACATTAGATTATTACATAAAACCCTTAAAATAAACTATCCTTAAAAACAGAAATTTGGGTTTAATGAAAAGTGTGTTTAAGATCAGATAAAAGTTATTTTCAATCCTCATCAGAGCTATTTTCTAATTGATTGAATATGACTGTATTGATGGATTCAGGGCATGATCTGGCAACCCAAGAGGAATTTAGATCTAAAGTTATAAATACCAAAATATCACATTTATGCCAAGAGTAATATGTTTGAGGAAATGTTTTCAGATATTTCTGTTTGACATATCTGTAGGAGAAGCGGGCCAGGTGAAGCACATGATGGGTGTGGTGTTTGTGTTCTTCTCTCTTACATGGCGGATGTGTTTGACTTTTGCTCATCCAGTTATTTGGTTAGTCTGCTGATATCTTTATAGGTCAGGACTAAACCTGCTGTCAGGTTCTGGTTATATTTTTTAAAATTGATATAAATTCTGAAAGTAAAACACAGAAAGTTTAATAAAATGCAGAATTTAAAGTGGATTTATTTCAAGTATTAGGGAAATCAAAGCGCTCTGGAAAAGCATTCATACTTTATTACCTTTTCATTACATTTTCTCATGTTGGAACCACAAACCTTGGTGTTTTTTATTTGGATTTTATGCGACAGATGGACTCATTCTAACCCCTAATCCTACTTTATAGACCCACCAGCCATTAGTGTTTTAGGGAATGTCTCCACAATTTTCCCCACATTTTCCTTCAGTTCTTCTTCTCAAGCATCCCAGATTGAATAAAAAAGTCTATGAATATCAATTTTCAAGAACTGACACAAATTCTCCATTGGATTTATATCTGAACTTTGACTAGACCAGTCTAACACCGGAATATCACCTTAAAGCCTCAATAAAATACCCTAATGATTGTAGTTTTGACCTAAGAAATTATTAGAAAGTTTTTACTTTCTAATAATTCAAGGCAGTGTTGGTGAGAAACAAACCAAAGTTGGAGTCAGTATTTTAATCTAAATTCTTGTCTGCAGGTGGTGGATGTGCGCGCTGAAGCTCGCCGACTGACTCGCTGTTTGTCCCGAGCTTCGTTTCCATCAGAACAAAACTACGCAGAGAGCGACATGAGGGAGCACCAAACCATTAACAGGGTAACAGATCCTGAAAAATAACTGTTATTCTTAATTTTTTTACTCCCCTCTTTGCTATAAAACACATTTCTTTATAAGGAGTAAAAGTTCGCAGATGGTCTCAAGTTAGGTTGTTGGCTTCATATCTTTTTTATTATGTTTTTCTTAATTTCATACAGTAAGGGTGTTGGACAGAAAAAAAAAACTAATGTGTATCTTATTTATTTATTTTTACCTACACAACATCAGCTAAACATGCAAATAGTGGTTTTTATTTGTAAAAAAAGTGATGTGTAAATCATTGGACATTTACCTTATTAAAAATGGCATCCAGTTTTTAAATTCTCTCGAGCTTATTTTAAAAAAGGAAAAAATATAATTCATTTTGAGCAATAAAAACAGCAGTTTTTCTGTACTTAATCAAATACAATAAATTAATTTAAAGCAGATTTGGGTTCACAAAAGTTATGAAGAAAAAGAGATGAATACATAAGATTTTGTCATGTTAGAAAATTTTAATTTATCTGCAATAATTAAGGACATTAACTGATAAAAAACATAGAACAACTCCACCAACGTCAACCACCAGGTCGGGGCGGCCAAACTTGTATGATTCTTGAATGGCTGTCAGTGGTGAACACAATGATCACCTGATCCTCACAAGGTCTTAAAACTACATAAATAAAACCTAAAATAAACAAGACATATTTCATGATTTCACTGTTTTTTTTAAAACTAAATCCATAATAATTAATAGATTAAATATATGAACAGCTGAAGTGACCATCAGCAGTGTGAATGGATCCAGAAACAATTTTAAATTTTTTTCTCTTAATTTACTACTCTGGAAATCTCAAGCACATCTTAATACACTTCCAGAGGAGGAGATGCATGAAGATGGATTATATATATAAAAAAAAAAAAATCATGTAACTCAAATTCACCATAAACTTCCTCCATCAGGTTCACGGCTCGCTGCGTTTCTCCGTCTACTATGACCAGCTGCAGGCGTTTCTGGTGGTGACCGTGTTGCAGGTGGAGGGGCTGGTGGGCAGCAGTCAGACGTCAGGCCTGCAGCCATTTGTGAAGATTCGCCTCATGTGGGCCGGGTCAGAGGGAACTGAGCTGGAAAGCCAGGAGGTAAAGCTGTGAATGTGTTGATTGGAACAGTGTTTGTTTTATTCCTGAACCCCAGCATGAAATGTTTGTGCTCTGTGAGGAAGACACTGATGGGGACACTGGTGTTTTTCACACCTGATAGTCTGTTAGACCCGGTTTGATGTGGGACCAAAATTGCAAAATTGCTCTGGTTTGCTTTCACACTGCACTGTCAAACAAAACAAACCCTTATGTGAACCTGTTCCCCTCCTCACCTGTGGGGGCGCTGCACGAAGAACCACTGAAGGAAACAACACGGAAACATCTGAAGAAGACACTGATAGAAACTTTTTTCTTCATAAAATGTAAACAAATAACACTGTCAGATTTCTTTTTTGGCCTTGTTACAACCATGAGGCTTTTGTCCCGCTAGCATTAGAGGGATGCATTTGTTTTGGTTGTATTTACCCAGAATGCCCTGTGCTGTAATCTGCTTCCTGTTTTTAGAGTCGTCTCCACTACGCTTGGCGTTCACATATGCATTTGAAGTGAACTCTGGTGTGGTTTGAATTCATATGTGAATACCAAGTGGACTGGAGACCACTCCAAAAGCAGGAAGTGGACTATAGCACAAGGCATTCTGGGTAAAAATCAAAACAAACGCAAGAGTTTAGTGCTAGCAGGAGAAATGGTTTGTAGTCTTTTAACAACAAAAGAAAAATCCTACAACTTCTGCAATCTGATGCTACTCCAATTTTTTCTACATTTTGTGAAGAAGGAAGTTGTGTTCAGTGTCTTCTTCAGAGGTTTTTGTGTTGTTTCCTTCAGTGGTTTCTGGTGAGGCGCCCCTACAGGCGAGAAGGGGAAAAGGTTTTCAAAGGGTTTGGATCGTTTGTCACAGTGCAGTGTAAAAGAGAACTGGAGCAGCTAAAAATGCAACAAATGTTGCAATTTTGGTCCCCAGTCGAACCAAATTTACTGGACTATCAGGTGTGAAAACACCCTAAATTTGAGATAGTTTAAATGTCTTTTTGTGATCTAAATTTGCTTGTTTCTACGGTGATCCTGTTAGGGTCAAGTGACGCCATCTGTGCTGTGGACGGTGCTGCAGGAGTGGCGCACCCGCGTCGTAAAAGGCAGCTGTAACCCTTTATATGGAGACCAGTTTAGCTGCAGTCTGCAAGACAACAAGGACATGATTAACCGCATCACTCTGAGGATGGAGGTGCCACTCCACATAATCTATAATTTTACCAAACAGAAGAGAGACTGACTGCAGTAGATTTAATCTAAACTGGTGGATTAGAGAATAATTTTCATGTTTTATGGTTTCTGTGTATCAGGTGAGGAACTTTGATAAGTTCTCCAGACACACGGTGCTGGGAGAGATCAGGGTTCCTCTGGGGAAGATGAACATCTCCTTCCCTCTGGAGCTTCAAGAAGATCTGCAGATTCCACAGAAGGTAATGTTAAAGCTGAGCAGGTTAATCAAAAAACTGTAACTCCTGTTGTACTAGGGAGGGAAGTTAAAAAACTTTTTCCAAACATGGAAAGTATTTTAACAGCTTGATTTACTGAGAATGTAAACTGAGATGTAAATTTGTGGAAAGATGATCAGTTCATAATAGAGCGGAGTGGCCAAAGTAGAGTCGGTGAAAAAGGCCATATTATCTTTAACAGAATTGCAATAATGCTTCGAAATGTTTTTAGTGCTATTTAGGGATGTAACTAATCATTGTTGTAGTATCTTATTTTAATAATCCACGAATAATTGATTAATCCTAGAAAAATTGACATATTCTGCAGATTTTTCATTGAACCACTTTTGCATTTTTACATAATCTTAGAAATACATAAAATAAGCATTTAATTCAGATGCTTTTTGGAATAAGAAAATAAACATTTTATTGCCTAAAATGCAATAACAGTATTCATTTAGTGATGCTTGATCATTTGTAGCACAGGATGCATCTGTAGCTAGAAAAAATACTGTTTACTAATCTGTTTATTTTTCTAATTAGTAATTTGACACCAGCAGGTACTTAATATGAGATTATTTTTGCAGAATTTGAAAATAAAACTGTTAGATTTTTCATATTAAATGCAAAATGTTTATATTTTTGTACAATTTTGGCTTAATTACTGCTTTGAGTGTGTTGTTATTCCAATGAATTGACATTTTTAGAGTCTGTATACTCTAACTAATGTTTAATGGATAACTGAATTAGTTGATAATTATCTCACAAATTGATTAATCACAATTAATTTGTTTAATTGTTTTAGCCTTAATGTTTTTATTACAATGCAACCTCTTTATTTAGACTATTGCTTAATTTATTGTATTTTTGTTGCACTTTTTGGACTTCTGGATACTCCCTTATGAATAAAGTATTTATCTACCGTTCTGTCTCAATGTGTGCAGGATCTGGTTGGAGAAGTACTGCTGACGTTAAAGTATCTTCCCACCTCTCAGAGGCTGGAGGTCGGCCTGTTGAAGGTCAGAACAGCCATCGCTGAGCCGTCGTCTGATGCAGGTGATTCCCAAACCTAAATGTGTGAAACATAAAGATTTCACACATCTCCACATTGACTCACTTTATTTTCACTCAGTCATGCATGCCAGGATCAGCATTCAGTGCAACCAGAGCAAGTTGAGGTACCAGAAGACCTCTGCTGTCCACCGCTGCCCAGTGACCGTCTTCAATGAGGTCCTCATGTTCTCCCTGCCAGACGTCCCACTGGAAGAGTGTAAAATCTTAGTCTCAGTGTATGAGACGCCGTCGACTGGGAGGTCCAACAAGTGTCTGCTGGGACACCTAAGTGTGGGGAAGGACAGGAGCTCAGAGGACGAGCACTGGACCTTGATGGTGCGCTCAGTGCGGCAGCCTGTAGCAAAGTGGCATGGTCTGCTGCTTTAAGCTCCAGGCCAGAAACATCTGAAGCAGTTTCCTGTTGTTTGTTCATGTTCACCTCATCCTGCAGGGACCGTGATGAAACTCCACAGGATGGAGCTACACTCAGATATGTAAATATGAGAACAATCATTTTTATTGAGCTGCCTTTCCATCATAAATGTGCACAAATCTTAATCGATATTCTGCTAATGTCGAAAAAACACAATTTTGCAGCAACAGTGTTTCCATTAAATGAAGAATTAAAGTCACATGGGAATAAGGCTAGTCCCATGATAAGCTATGAAAAATCATGGCAGCATCGGATGTAAACACTTACATGAGATTATATTCATAATTCAGCCAATCAGAGAAGACGTTGGCGTCTTATTCAGGTGTTGGAGTGACAAGCTCCGCCTTCTTGGGAGCGGCTACGTATGCAGCTTTTTTGGGAAATCATAGTTTACAGAAGAGAGATGGATTCAACATGTTGAAAAGACACAGCTTTGTTTGAGCCTGCGATGCTGTGAGAGCTCTGGTGGAGCCAGCTGCACATTACCCAAAACAAACATTATCCTCCTCCTACTTCCTGTCGTCTTCTTCTTTGTAGTTTTTACCAGCAGTAACATCCGATCATGTGACTCGTTTGATGTGAAAAAAGAGTTTCCATTGCAGTTTTGTGAAATGTTTCTATTTTGATTCAACTGAAAAATCTCCTCATCCTAGCACAGCTTTTTATAGAAAACCCTTTTATCTTTAAATTGGCCTGTTTCCATCAAGCAGTTTTATTTGTTCTTTCAATTTGTGCAATTTTATGGTCAATGAAACCTCAGCTGACTGACCTTATCTTTATTTGAAAATCTACTTCTAATAAAACCTCTGAAGAATATCTTATTACTTTCCACATTTGACAAATTAGTATTTTACGTTTTAAGTGTTTTTTTCCCCCTGAAATTAAATGTTTCAATTGTATAATTAATGCATTACATGCCTGCTACCTGGTACCTTTAGAACTACTAAAAATATGTTTATTTGGAGTATCCTAACGTTTGTATGTAACAAAACAATAAAAATGATCCTGATGACTCGGCATTCAATTGTCCAAAACTTTTTGCATTCAGTTAGTTACTTTTCTCCAGTTTGATGTGTGAGGCTGGTTGTTCTTTATGAGTGATCTCTGCTGCCACCTGCTGTTTCGTTTATTAAAATACTTTTCAACTAGGAACTGTATGCTAACCTGCTAAACATTGACATACTCATCTTACTGTTGTATAGTTTCCCTTTAAAACCATGTAGAATAAAAATACCAAGTAATGCAAGTATCAATATATGAAACTTAATGTTTTTCTACAGACCACAACACTTGAAATGGAAGATATTTTTAATATCCAAAGTAAAACACAACAACCAAAAACATTAAAATGCAGAAAACCACAATTTACAACCAACACAATAAATTAATTGGATTATGAAGTCTCTGCAAACAAAATTGCCCTTCAAAATACATTAGTCCCCAGAATGGAGGTTATCAAGCTCATTTCAATTTATGATTGATTTCTTATTGCGACAGACTGTCTTTATGCCCCACTGCATAGTCAAATAAGTTGTGAAAGGGTTTGCCATACGTTCAGTGGAAGAGGAGGAGGTGCCTGGTTTGATTCTGGGCTGCATGTCTTCCACTTAACTAATAAAAGCATCTAGGTCCAGAAATTTTTTTAAAAAACAATTTCGGAAAGTTCTTATTTTTTGTATGGCAAATTTGATACATTAATTACTTTATCAAGTCAATTATTTATTATCTAACCAATATTGGCAGCATGGGTCCTCCATAGAATCCGTCCTGCACAGCTTTAATTATAAACTTGACTTTTTATTCACTCACTCTCCCTGCTGACAGACACCAGACAGAAATACAAGTAGTTATTCTAAAATTCAGTGCAGACAGAAGGAAGCTCACCCACTGCCGATAAGGTCTGAGCTGCGTCTTAAGGAACCACCACAGAACCATTAGAACCCTGTTACAGACTGGGTTCAAGTCCAGAACCATCCAGCTGGATCAGAATAGCTGGAGCATAAAGAGTTTATCCCAGTCCAGACCTGATATGCCCCTTATTCCTCCTTAAAACGCACAGACAGATGTATGAGTTCTGCCCTGGCGAAGAAACGAAACCAAAAATGATGCCAAACTCAGCCTTTGCGTGGTTTCGTTTTCAAGAAACGAAGAGCCTGACTGCAGCGAAGAGCGGTCTGCGACAGCAGCTGGTGGTAAGTCGTTTTCTCCTGACTCTCAGGTTTATTCCCAGCAGATGAAATGTGGAGAAGCAGCTGCAGTCTGAGGCTGTTTGAGCCCGAGCTGTTTCAGTGGGCTGCTTGGAGATGACGCAGAACTCTGCTGAGCGTTACCTCAGTCGACCTCGGCTGTGAGTTATTCCAGGACACGGACAAAGCCATGTTGAGCCTTCATGTGTCCCTGAAGAGATCCGACCGGCTCAATGAAAACTCCCTGGATTATATGTCATAAGAGACAAACACGAGTATTTCTAATTGATGTTAGAGCGTTTTATGTGAGCAATATGCATCAATATGCATTAATACGCATGACGCAGCGCGCAAACCCGCCGCACCTACTTAAATATAACCAAGCGGAACTTAATTAGCACAAACTGTTAACGATCAAAATACCAAACTGAGTTTTACTATAAATTAGCAATAAAAACAAAACAGAACCAAAAACTTAAACTTCCTGACTGCAAATTAATTTTACTATTTCAGACAAAGATATGGATCACGTGGTCAGCTTCCTGTTTGGAGTTTTCTTAATGTTTTAGTGGGTTATATTACAATGTCGTTGTTTCTAACCAAAGCGGGTATTATGATAGTAATATGATTAGAAGTGCACTAATCAAATTGTTTTGTGGTTAATTTCTGACCTACTGATATACATTTAAGCAGTCTGCAAGTTCTCCCTTAGAAAAATCATTAAGTCAGATGTTTTAGCAAAACATTAGTTTTAATAAAGTTGCTTGTTCTATTAATTATTTCTCAAAAACTTTAATTTATGATGCAATAAATTTACTTATCGCTTATTGCGGCAGGCTATAGCAGTGAGATTTCTGCTGGCATTTCCACTGGACTTGTCAGGATTTGTGGATGGTTGTGGTGAGGATGAGCGCTGAGACCCAGATAATGGTGATGATGATTAATTTAACGATGAAGCTCAAAACAGTCCAGATCAGGCAGCACGACAGAAAGACCGCACACAGCTACCGGTAGCAACTGAACGACAGTGGACTGAAAACTAGAGCTGAACCAACACAGGACTTAACAGTTCGACTGTGGTGGCAAGCAGACGAATGACGTACGACGTACGTTTGACAAGGACCCGACAAGAGACAGAGACAACAGGTGGACTTAAATACACACAGGGGTAAGTAATCAAGGAAACGAGACACACCTGAGAACAATCAAGGGCTGACAGGACAACACAGAGACTCAGGGGAACAGGACTAAACACAGAAAATCCCAAAATAACTAAACAGGAAAACACGGATCATGACAGGACTATTCTAAAAACAAAACAGAAAAACTTTACCTTCCTCGCCTATCACCTAATCTCTTTTTTAGTACAGTTTCCCTTCAGTTTTACATCTTTTATTCTTCCACTGGCCTCATTTTTAATACATTTGAGACACTAAAAGTTTTTTTTGAGTCTCCTTCACACCGTATCAACTTCCACACAGAAGAGTGTTGCTGTTTGGGAAAATTACAGTTTGTATGGTGCAATCACCATACACACTGTAATTGTAATACACCATACAAAGAAAATATATAAAATATAAAGTATAAAAGTATGAAAAGCATTTCTGTTGGTTTGTGTGGCCATGCAGTATAAAGTGTGATAAAAGTCAAGCAGTTAAGTTCAGTAGTCACCCTGAGGGCTGGTACTGATCAACACATTGTACGGCAGACGGTCCAATCACTGATTGGAAAACATGGATTTGTATCTTTTCTTCTAATTATCGTGTGATTTTGTGCTTCAGCTGATGGAGTCAGATCATGGATGAGGAGCTCGACCCTGACGATGAAAATCCAAACTCCGTCTTGGCTCAGGAATACTCAGAGCTGGTCGCCATCCTTCGCTGTCAGTTGGACTCGGTCATAATGCAGCTTATCCAAGCGGTGCCGGATGGTGCCATGTGGCTGAGCAGACAAACAACCAGCGGCTCTGCTGCACCGTCAGACCACATCGAAGCCATGCTGCAGTACTTCAGACACGCCAACACTGCAGAATGCAGCAACTTCCTTCAGAGGGTTTGTCTTCTGTGTGAGGACATCCCCATGCATCTGGAGTCGAAGCTCATGTCGGTGGCTGGATATGAATGCAGTGAGTATGCAGCGTTTGGGAGAAAATAGTTACATTTACTCAGACATTTACTTGAGTAATTTCATTATGAAGTATCTCTACTCCAACTTGAGTAAAATGTCTGTATTTTCTACCCACTGAATGAAAAACAAACATGTTTTAACCAAAAGTTCACCAAACACAGACACACACCTGCAGTTTTTGTTAAAGTTTTTTTTATTGAAAGAAATTAATTTGGAAAAAAAAATATTTGTCTGACTCTGTTAGGCTTTTATTTTATATGAATTATTGTAATTTTGGTCCTTAAAATACCAAAATTTCCACTTAATGTTATAGTTTGGTCTGTCTGATGATGTAATTTTTAAGTATTAAATTATTAATAATTTCATCAGTTACTGAGTAGTTGAAGAGACTTTTCAGCAAATACTTTCTGTTACTTTTGCTTGAGTAAAAATATGTTGAAGTAGTGCTACGCTTCCTTGAATAAAATTTTTTTATCCACCTCTGTGACTATTAAACAGTAACTTTTGGATGACCGATTTGCATAATTATTGGTTAGTTTAAATATTGTTGAGTGAATGAAAAAGATCTGAACTCAGCTTGGCAGCCTGTAAAAAAAAAGACAGGAAACCACCTCACGGTCGAAGATATGCTGCAGTGCTACATGCTTCTTTGACACGGAAGTGTTTTTCTTTTTTCTAACCAAACCGATTAGGGAGTGGCAAGAGAGCCTGGCTCAGTGAAATTCCTCGTTGCTGCCAATCTTTTATAAAGCTGATCTTTGATATGACTATGCCACTTTTGAGATAGCAGATTATCACCTTCAGTTTGCTTCTCATTTGTTGAGGTTCTTGTTGTGTTTTTCCTTTCGTTTTGATTGGAAAGTCGTGATCCTCTCCAGACTTCACTAAGTTCAAACCTCTGAAGGTTGAAACCTGGTCCACACATAGACGGATATCTGGAAAAACCAAAACCTTTTATGCACTTTGGTCTTTCATCCACACAAAAACTGTGCAAAAATAAAAATAATCTAAAAAAATTATAAAAACAAAGTGGAGATTTGTGTTTGTGTACATGGAAATTTAGGGACTTTGACAGTTTGATCCTATTTTATTGTCATAATTTATGTTAGTGCATTTATTATTAAATGATAAGTATTTTATTATTCATTTACAGATAAGAAAGTTGAACACCCAGAAGAAGTTTGCAAGTAGTTTCTCGTACAAATATGTTAAAAAAGTTTTAACTAACTTAAAAGTAACTTTTTTTTTTTAGCAAGATAGGAACTTGATTTTAGTAAATAACACTTTATTATTGATAAAAAAAAACACTAGTTCCACAGAAACAACATTTTACTTATTAACAAAACATTTTCCCATGTTATAAGAAGAATATAACATGGGAACATGCCAGTGCTATTTTTTAGTACTTTAAAACAATAGCATTAGGAAAATATTGAGTTATAAAAGCTTCTATATATTGCTGAAAATTTACTTTTAAGTTAGTTTTGTCTTATTTTAGGTCTAATAAGATATTTACACTGGTAACTAGACAAAAATACTTGGTCAAATTTTGTGTTTTTGTGGTGTGGTGTGTGGTGGGCTTCTGATATTATTGGTCTCTGATATTATTGGTTACACGATTATGTAAGGTAGCCAGTAAAATCCCAAGATGGCGAGTGGTTTTGCTTCATGTTAGCGTTAGCTGTGCTTTTGGCATTTGATTGTTGTGTGAGTGTATTGTGGCGGATCTGAGACCAGTCATACCTTACTATTATGTTAATGATATCTTTGGCTGCATTTTTACCCTTCATGAAACAACACCTAGTGTCATTGTTCAAGAAGCAAACCAAAACCTTTGCGCGTCTCAGTTCAGAATAGAGTAGAATAGAAAGAGCCTTTATTGTCCTTCAGGTGTTTCCAACAGAAACACGACGGACAAGTTGAAACATGCAGATTAGCACTTGGATGAAGATCTACAAACAGAAAGTAAGATTATGAGACTCTACAGAAAGGGCAGATTTACAGCATATGAAACAAATTATGTACAGAGATTAAAAATTGCTTACTTACATTAAAAGAGACAGGCAGCTGAGTAGGATGATTAAAACAGTATATGGAATAGATGTAAAAAAATGAGAAACTTATAAATAATAGCAGGGATGTAAACATTTGTTGAGCTTAAGTTTGTTGGGAGCAGCGATGGTCATAAAATATAACAGCTGCAGGGAGGAAGGATCTGCAATAACGCTACGCACCAAGGATGAAGCAGTTTTTCACTGAGACAGTTCAGCAACAGCTTCATGCATGAGGGGGAGACATTGTCCAACAGTGATGTTATTTTAGCTAAAGTCTTCTGTCTCACATCACCTGCACCAGGTTGATGGAGGACACAGAGCAGGTCCTTCTGATAAACTGACGTAATCTCATTTTGGTTCCAACGTTGGGCCATTTAATGCCTGTTGTTTTAAATCTGAACACTTCATGTTGTATTAAGTCGTTGGCAAGTCGGAAATGTCTCATGTTGGTCTTAACATGAGACAATCAGGTTGGTTTGTGTGGAACTTTAAGTCCTGTCAGATGTTTGAAGGAACTTTTAAAACATTCCCATTCTGAATACTGCATCTGCACTGGGATCAAGACTGTGGATTTTAACACTGTGTTGCTGTAAAACAGGCTGCTTACCATCTCATTTTGCTAAGTAAAGGTATCGCCATAAAACTTCATCAGCTGCTGCCAGTTCTGTCCTATTTGTAATGCCAACATTTATTTCCTCTGATTCCCTTTGCAGACAGATCTGCTTTCTGCACATGGACAAAATTACATCCAAATTTGACATTTCTTTTTGGGAGCTAAGTTAGATCTGAATTGCTTTTGTAAAGATGAATATGAACATATTCTTACCAATAATTAATTCTTAATGAATGATTTATTTAATGATTAAATCTTCTCTTTTTGCTTGTTCAGATGATGCTTTGAATAATCTTTCAACCGGAACATCATGTTTGGAAAATGAAGGTAATTGATGATGATCATAATTAAGTTTTCAGTTAAAAACAAGTTTAACTGGAACAAAAACAGGTGCAGCAAACGTCAAAAGTTTCCAAATGTCAAAGCAACAAAAATCAAACTAAACCTGATCTGTATTTTTGATCAGACAGAAACCTGGTATTACTTATTTAAATTTCTACATTCTATACATAATGATCTTTCTGCTGACGTAGCTCTTTTTTAATACTCAGCTATTCTTTGTGGATATTTTGCCAAGGTAACAGAACTTAATTAGTTCTGTTGAATGGATTGAGTTTCATATTACTGAACTCACCGATTGAAAAGTATGAAAATTGAAAATGATTGCAGCGTTTGATTTTGGACAGAGCTGCACATATTCAGGATGTTTGAAGGCTTTTGTTTAATGTCAGAAATTTTCTTTAATTTGAAACCATAAACTAATAACTAAGAGATATAATTCTTTATTCTGCAGGAACTTGCAGACCTGTTGTTATTGTTATAACATCTCTGACTGTGTTGAAGTATTTTATTTAATGTATCTTCTGTATTCCTCTGCATGGTAGATGCAGCCTCCAGTGTGACGGGTCAGCAGCCGTTAACGCCGCCTGCAGAGGAGCAGCTCACGAAACGCCCACGGATTGGTACAACACACACACCAAATCCTAAAATTTGTGCTGCTGTCACATTCAGAAACTAACTTTAGGAACGGTTGTTACTAAAGTCTCTGAATAATTCAGGAAAGAATAGAAAGATGCTGCCTTAAATCCTGTTTGATTCTCATAGTTTTTTTTTCTTTCTGTGTTAAAATGTCTTCATTCAGAGCAAAGTTTAACTGAAGTCAAATTCCTTCCTTGTGTGCAAATAAAGCTGAGTCTGATTTTGGTTGGTGACTAATAGTTTGAATTTTCAGAACATTTTTTTTCAGTATTTTATAATTTTGTCCATGAAAATGAAACACATGCTCTCAAATGTAAATATATAAACTTAGCTTAGTTCCTGGCTGCTGCAACATGTGTTGTTGTAATCCACCGCAGCAAAAATGTTTGCACATTTAAAAAAGAAGCAAAATGATTTGATTGGGTGAATCATGACTTCAGTGACATCACAGCAGGGTGCTTAATTTTTCTCTTTTCCTGTGCCAGACTTACCTCCAGCTTTCAGCAGATGGTTTTTTCCCCATCCCATGCAGGCATACTTTCCCCTAAATGTGACATTTGCACAAATTTAGCATCACCAAAATAATTTATGAATTTCTGTCTCAATGTTTTTAGTTGACATGAAAAGGCTATTTTGGATTTTGAACAGTCAGTATGAGGTCTTAGAACAACCATTCTGGTATATTCTACTCTTTATTAACACAAATATTAAGAATTTAAAACGGTAAGTAATAAAGTTGTGGCTCTTAACATTCTAAAGAAAAATGCTTTGAAACCTGTAAACTTCTGCTTATTTTTGTTGAACATTATATTATCGGTTTTAACTCAGATTTCAAGCAGAGACGTGTGAGAATCCAGCCTGCCTCAAGGCCAAAGAACTGAAAGTGAAACTGCAGTCGTATGTTTGGATCCTGCAGTTTATTAAATGATCAGCTTGTTTCGTAAATTAAATCTACCTGCAGATTACTGGGAGCAGTACAAGGCTGAAGCAGCAGGTTCCCTGCAGCAGAGGTGGAGGCGGCTGTCGGAGGGCCTGCTGAAGGATGTGCAGCCGGACAAAATCTGGGTCAGCATCAGAACTGCAAACAGAGCCAGGGACAGACCGGATCAGACTCCCAGCTCTGCAGAGAGAGGCGGCAGAACACCAGGTCAGGACTGACTTCCTGCTTCCTTTCTTAATCAGTGAAAGTAATCCACATTTATTGAAATTAATCCCTCAATCATTTTTCACCAACTGTAGAGCCTGAAGGTGATGACGGGTGGCCAGAGTCCAGACTGACTCTGGAGAGTTTTCTTCAGGGATGCACAGGAAAAGTGACGGTTTTGGCCGGCCAACCTGGCTCAGGAAAAACTCTGCTGATGTCTTTTATCGGGCAACAGTGGACGAAAGGATTAGTAAGTTCAATTTTCTCATTTTACTCACTATAAATGACTAATGTGCATTTAAAATGAAGTCCTTCTTGAGCTGCTGGAATATCAATACTACAGAAGAGGATTAGAGCCACTGGAAAAAAAACAACTGAATTTAGATTTTTTTTTCTTCAGAATTCTGACTTTAATCTTCTGAGTTATGGGAAATGTCAGAAATCTGAGATTAAAATAAAAATAATCTGAGTTTAATGTCAAATTCTGAGTTCAAATACTGAATTCTGACATTTTTAAAATTTCAGAATAGAAATTCTGAGATTAAAGTCAGAATTATTTTCTTTCAGTGACCAATTAAGACATAAGAAATGGAAAATAAAAATGATTTGCAGGGATAAAAAGCAGGATTTTTTTCTTTTTATTTGTGGATTCTTTGTGAAAGCAGCCCAACCATAAATCCAGTCAAATGCCCTGCAGGGGGAATGAAACAGAAAATAAAATTACATTAAAAAAGTTGCCCAACTTGCCCCTGTGGAAAGTACCAGATAAAAACTGCAAACACATTCATTTGGATATAACCGCCTATCTGCAGTTTGTTTGCTGTAGACTTTTGCTGAAATGAAAGTAAAACTAAATTTCTCTCTCCGGCTCGGTTTGCTGTAGTTGTTATTTTCATTGTGTTTTTCATTCTAAAAAGGTTTAGATGATGTTTCACACAAAAATAACTGAAGTTTTCTAAGTTTATTTTTACTTCACCCATTAAGCAATGCTTTGTGGCGTTCCTTCAGTAAGATGACAGTTTTTATATGTCCTGTTCCGTAATGGGAGGTTTTTAAATGTTTCATGTCATCCAGGGCCCCATCCCTTCATCCCATCTGTTTGTATTGCTGGAGCTTCGTCAGCTCAACCTCCTGTCGGACCCTCTCTCCCTCTCTGAGCTGCTGTTTCACCACTACCTCCCAACTAATGGAGACAATGAAGCAAAGGTACCACAACACCTCAAATACCGTTTGAACGCAGTAAACAGCAGATTAAATGTTTTAAGAATGACCGTCTTTTCTTTGTTGGAGCAGCAGGCCGTTGTGGACTACCTCCTTTCCAATCCAGAGCAGAGCTGCTGGGTGCTGGACGGTTACGATGAGTTCCAGAAAAAACTAAAGAGACACAGGGTTCAGAATGAGCGTCTGGACTCAGAGAAACCTCGGCCTGTGGCAGAGCTCATCTCAGGGCTACTGAGCCGGCGGCTTCTCGCAGGGAGCACCGTGTTGGTCACCAGTCGAGTACGCGACGTCGTAGATCTGGACGGTTTGTCCGACAAAGTGGGGCAGCTGCTGCCGTGGGACCACCGTGAAATCAAAGAGTGTGTCAACAACTTCTTTAGTGGAAAAGGTTAATATTAATTCATTTCATTCTACTAGAGTTGGAAACATGATGAGGGATTTACTTCTACACTGCAGAAACAAACTCTTACCCAGTACGCTTCCTTTAGTTTCTAGTACAAATATCTTAGTACCTTCTTATATGACAAAACTAACTGATACCTTTTCAGCAAGATATAGCAGTTTGTTTTAAGTCAATGATTTGTTAATATTGATGAAAATGTTCTACTTCCAGTGGCAAATTATTTCACTTATAATATGGGAAAATGTCTTGTTATAAGTTTAATAATCTGCCAATGGAAACAGTACTGATTATAATCAATATTAAGGATTTATTGACTTAAAACAACCTGTTATTTCTGGCTAAAAGTAACTTTGAAGTTAACTTTGTCTTGCATTAAGTGTACTAAGATATTTATACTAGAAACTAGATAACCTTGACATTTTGAGAAATGAACACAGAAAATAAGAGTTACCTACTACTACTGTCCAAATTTCCTATTTTTTTTTATCCTTGTGAGAGAATTAGTTATTTGATCAACAGCAAAGTTTTAAAATAGATATACATTTTATTAACATTTTATTTAAATGTAAAGCTACAAATTATGAAGAAAATAATTGGGAAAAAATGCAACAGATAAAAGTTGACAATAGTTTTGCATATTACTGAGTGAAATAAGTGTTTCTGCTGCACAAATTAGTTATTAGTTTATCATTTACAGAAACCAGACCTTAACTTATTCTAAAGCAAATCTGCTCAAGTCTTTTTCCAAAGATTCAAAGATTTTTCCAAATATATCCTTGTATCTGAAAGGCCTCATCAGTTCTTAAATATCAGTGCATTAATATCGGTTTTATTCAGTAAACATTACTGCTGCTTAACTTGTTATTTTCTCCTTTCTGATGTTCAGATGGAAATCTTGCAGCCAATGCAGCAGAAATCCTCTTCTCCAGCCGACACCTCCTGGCCATGTCTTCCCTCCCGGCCCTCTGCAACATCTGCTGCGTCTTTCTGCAGCATTCACTGCACCGACATGCAGAAAAGACAAAGGTGCCTGGAGAAAAAGCAGTTGGAGTAAAGAAAAAACCTCTAGAAATAGAGAGAAAAGACGCACAAACTCCTGATGGAATGGGTGGCAATGAGAGTCGCTCCCAAAAAGCACAACATGGTGAAAACAGTGAGGAGACATTAATGGATGGAGCAAAAAGCAGATCCATGTTTTCTTTCACATCAGCACAAATCCCTTCAACCCAGACTCAGATCTACCTCGCTGCTGTTGTTGCATTTCTTAACCGGCACACTGATCGGACCGGAGGAAATAACGCAGCAGAGATCTCAGGATTTTCTCAAAGGTGAGGATTAGAAAACACAGCAACACAAAAACTAAAACAAAACATTGGGTTTTTAGTTAAAATCTCTATAAAACTACACTTGGTCTGTATTATATTGTCAGCAAATTTGTATTTGTTTCTTTGTGCAGTACCAAGTTTGCATGGAAAACTGTGAGTCTTCCTGCTGCTGAGCTGTGTGAGCTCAGTCGGGTGGCGTGGAGAGGTTTGGAGGAGAGCAGGATTATCTTTTTGGATGAAGACGTTCCTCTGCAAACTTTACAGTCTTCAGTCAAGTCAGGACTCTTCTCACAGGTCAGACATGGTTTCACTTCTCTGGAGCTTTTCCATTACAAATGTGCACAAAACTGGCACCACTTTACAACAGGGCTAATAAATAGTTTATAGATATGTTATCAGTTCATCTATAAACACTTTATAAATTATTAATAACTTATTATGCTTTAACTAAGGGGGAGAAGGAGAGTGCATGCTAAAAAAAATACATTTACAAATGCTTATTATGGTTACAAAGTAGTCTGAAATTCAACTCTAGATAAAATATATAAGTGAACAGACTCACTATTTGGCAAGAAACTGGTAGATTTAATCTCCTTCTCACCCTTAATTAATGCATAATAAACAGTTATTAATTATTTACAAAGTGCTCAGAGATTAATTAATAACACATATGTGAACTATTAGCCATCTATAAGGGGAGCCTTATTTTGAAAACTGTATCAGCATTTCCATTGACCATAAAATTGCACAATTTGACATTTTGAAAATAAATTTGTTTAATGGAAAAACCCCAATTTTGAAAAAAACAAAACAAAACAAAAAAACCCCCAACAATTTTTATATAAAAGTCTTACTTGATTTACTGAAAAGTTTTATGTGGTTTTATTTGCTGTATTAAAATTGGTTTATTTCACAAAACGTCAATGGAAACACTTTTCGCATCATGTGTCACGTTTCCACTGATGAAAACCACAAAGAAGAAGACGACAGGAAGTGTTAGGATGACATGGCATGGTTTTTAATGACTTATTCACTCATTCACGTGCTGGATGTTTCTACTCCAGACTCAGTCCACTGCTTCCCCCAAGGTCTGGAATCGGCCCTTCTCCACAATCTTCCTCAGGGTCCGGTCACCTCTTCTCGTTATGTAGTGTTTTCTGCCACACTTTTTCCTTCCTACTGACTTCCCACTGAGGTGCCTTGATATAACACTCTGCAAACAGCCGATTCGTTCAGAAATTTCTTTCTGTTTCTCACCCTCTTGCTTGAGGATGTCAGTGATGGCCTTCTGGACAGCAGTCAGGTCAGCAGTCTGACCCATGATTGCGGTTTTGAGTAATGAACCAGGCTGGGAGTTTTTAAAGGCCCCAGGAATCCTTTTCAGGTGTTTAGAGTTACTTTGTTGATTCAGATGATTATTTTTATTTTATTGCTCGTTCAGAGAACCTTTTCATAATATTCTAATGTTTTGAGACAGGGATTTTGGGTTTTCAAGAGCTGTTTGCCAAAATCATCAAAATTAAAACAATAAAAGACCTGAAATATTTCAGTTGGTGTGCAATGAATCTAATTTTTATCATGACATTATGGAAAATAATGAACTTTATCACAATATTCTAATTTTATGACCAGCACCTGTATGTCTGATGTAATATTGTGTTTTTTTCCTGAGAAATGTAACTTTGCTCCTTTTACTGGGAGGTATAAGCTACAAAATGTTTAAATCCATATTCTTTACTCACTCTTTTTGTTAGCTTCCTTATTACACGTTCTTTCACCATGTGAACAGTGTTGCTACTTTGTCAGTTGGTGGTTATAATTAGAGGAAGTGGATGATACAAATGACTAATCAATAAAAAAACTAAATGTTAACATTTAAAATGACGAGTTGGTAGTAAAAACCTTTTAATTGCCATGACAACTTCCTGTTCAAACTGTTGCAGACATTATGTTCAGCATGTCATAAATCATTGTTAATGCATTTTAGCTCCAGTGTCATAGCTTCAGACCATAAACCGACATGTATGTGATTCTCCCTGTCAGATGGAGGTCAGAGGTCGTGGTGGCGGTGTCGTCAACGCTTACTGCTTCCTGCATCTCACAGTGCAGGAGTTTCTGGCTGCACTCAGGATCATGACAAGCAGTGATGTCAGTGATGCAGACCTGAAGAAGAAGTAGGAAAAATATATTTTACATTCCTACGTCCCCATTGAACGGCACAGCTATGACATTAAACATAAAGAGCATGAAGACCTTTATAAAGTTTGTTTGCAAATTTGGTATCATGCACAAATCTGATCTACAGACCAGGTGTAGATAGCAGGTGCAAATTCATTCAGCATGTTTGCTTTCATGAATATGCAAAATATATGTAGATCATCAGAAAGATCAACATAATTGGAGGAGGATATGCAAATGTAATAGCTTATCACCTGAAATGAGATTTATTAAGCTAGAATTAGGTAGCAGGTGCTGTTTCTGTGGCTTTAATGTGCACATTTGAATAGCAGGTGCAAACTGGCATGCTAAATGACTGTGACTGTGCAAAAAGGAGGCAAAATGACAGAAGACATTGCTTGTTAAAATAAAAATAAAATAAAAAATAGATTAATAGTGTCTTCCAGTAATTATCACTTTATGCCATTATGACCCGGATGGCCAAACAAACATATATATTCCCTGTTTGCTCTCTCAGATTCAGTCTGAAAACTCGCTGGACGACTAAATCGGACCAGAAGACAGTATTCACTGATTCCCTCTACCTGTACGTCTGTGGTCTGGCTTCGTCGGACTGCACTCCAGCTCTGGAGGTCGTTGCCAAGGCAACAGGGTTAAAAGCAGCCCAAAACTGGGTCCAGAAACGCCAGGCCCTTGTCCTAAAGTTACTGGAAGCTCTGTGCCGCAGTGCCTCTCTGACTGGACCGAAGGTGATTTTTAAAAAAACCAAAACCTGATTCATGAAATTCAGATTTCGGTTCTTTTTAATGACTTTCTGCTCTTGTGTTGCGACAGATTTTGCAGCTTTGCCATTGTGTTCAGGAGAGCCAGAACCAGCAGCTGGCTCAGCAGGTGGTGAGGGTGCGACCCACGCTGGAGCTCAGAAACTTCTGGCTGTTAACCAGTGACATCGAGGCGCTGGCGTTTGTGGTCAACTCGGTCGGTACCAAAGATGTCGGTTTGGACTTCGGCGCCTGTTCGATGGAGCTGGAGTGTCTGGACATCCTGTCCAGGTGTCAGTATATTCATTACCTCAGGTACAAACACATTAAAACACATTCAAACTAAACTAATTCATGCTCACAGTTCGCATGTCTCACATCATGGATATAAAAGCAACATATCCGTTCAGACGCATGCACTTTGACTACAATCAGATTCATATGGAAATGTCCTGCAGAGAGAAAGCATTAACAGTAGTTTAAATTTATAGATTAGAGTTATGAGGATCCAGCAGAAATAATTTTGTCTTTTGGGAACACAGTTTTCTACAGAACTAACTTCAGCATGTTGTTTCACACACGGTTTGGTGAATTTAAATAATCAAATTCAAATAACCTGAGATACTGAATGTAGAGACAAGCTCAGGCAGATGTTATCATGAAGGGAATAAATCATAGATACATGAGAACAATGCAGCCATGCTTCCTTCAGGCAGGTTTAGCCTCAAAGGCTGATTTAATATGAAAATATTATGAAAGCCTCTAGCACAGAGGTGTCCAAAGTGTGGCCCACGGGCCGTTTGTGGCCCTTGAAATGATTTTGTTTGGCCTTAACCACAAGTACAGTATTTGGCCAGAAAAATGTAAAACAAGTGATGACCCCAAACAATGGGAAATTCTCAGTTTTTCTTTTAAAAAGTCAAGCCCTTTCCTTGTTTTGGCTCTTTAATAATATAACGATTTAATAAAAAATAGGTAAAACTGTACAAAAAAAGTAGAAAAAATCACAATAAACTAATTTTTAATTTAATGAATTTTATGGCCTGCCAGTGCTTAAAATTTTCAAGGCAAAAAGTTTGGACTCTACTGTTTTAACACAACACAACTTCGTACATTACAGTGTTTATTATATATTTTCATGTAACACTTTCAAACTTCCTTTTTATTTCATTGCAGTTTTCGGAGCCGCAAGTATGGTGATAAGTTTGCAGAGAAGCTTTCCTCCGTTCTACCTCGATTCATAGCGCTGAGGAAACTAGAGTGGGTTTTTGCTCCATACTTTACTCAGAATATAATCTGAGTAATCTGTAGTTTTTCCTTTTTAAATCTGATTTGTTTCTTCACCAGGTTTTGTGGTGCCAGTCTGAGTTCTGCAGGAGCTGCGAGTTTGGCCTCCGGTCTGCAGAACTGTCCCAGCGTCACTGAGCTCAAGTAAATTTACAAGATAAAATATCTCATATTACAGCTGAACATAGGTGACAGTTGATAAGAAGAATGTTTCTCTACTTTTTGCTTTAGTTTTAGTGACAACAATTTGCAAGACGAAGGAATCCGACACATTGCGGACGTTCTTGCCAAACTACAAAACTTGGCATCTGTAAAGTAAGTCGGCTCTGCTCATAAACGTTCAGGCTTTCTAACGTAGCAGTAGCAGACTCCATGTCTTTTGTTATATTCATGTGTGTGTGTGTGGGTGTGTGTGTGTGTGTGTATGCAGGCTGGGAAGAAACAACACTTCTCTGGAAGCAGCAGAGTGTCTTGTTAAACACGTCTCTTCTTGCTCGAACATCCAGCAGGTTCATGCAGAGTAAGAAAAAACACAAAACACACACAAGTGCATTTTTACCCAAATTAGGATTCTGCAGATGGCAGTAGGACCGCAGGGACAAGGCAGAGGAGCTTGTCTCCTGTTATACTGTCATGATATTATGACAGTTTTAACAAATATGTAAAAAACATGTTTATTAAAGTTGCGTACTGCAGCGTTAAGCCTCAAAGAAAGCAATTAGTGATCTTAACAGATTTTTTGTCTCCGTTCTTGTAGCGGGATCAAAGAGTTGACTCTGACTTTTTCTCAAAAATCTGAATCAAACAGGTGAGTTTCATAATCAGCAAATAAAATAATGACATTAACTTTAAGAAGTTCTAACCTTTTATAAAATGTTTTTCTGTTTGCAGCCATAAAATTAAGCCAGAAGCAACAGTGAGGTACGATGTTTCTGTAGTTTAATTTATTTAAACCAGTTTGTTCATCCATCCACTTAATTTTCTCCTAATGAGACATTATGCAAGGATTTGGTTGAAAACTTTATTTTTCAATTGCTAATGAAATTATATCCAGAGTAAAATAATCAGATTTTTTTAAAAACAGCACCTTTTGTACGTTGTACATTACATTCCAGCTGCAGTTAGTCGACATGTTTGTGCAGGTGGATTTTAGCACTATTTGCTTTGTGAATCTGGAGCAGAGAGAGTCTGAAAACAACACATAGATGTAAAAAGCAATGCAGTTACTTGGGGACAACCCTATTTGTATTAAACTCAGATTTTCTTGATCAGATTGTTGAACCAGAAGTGGACTAAGTCTGGCATGCAGAACCTCGCCAGGTCGCTGGCTCGCTGTCCCTCCCTGTCTGAGCTGGAGTGAGTAACCTCAGACACACAGATGATTTTTTTTATTAGAAAAATGTAACCTAAGGAGGTTTGATTCAAAGTCTGACTGACCGGCCCACCAGGTCACGTCTGCACATTTGCAGTTAACAATAGTCACTCTACTGTTGCCAACTCAGCAACTTTCTTGCTATATTTAGCAACATTTCAGTCAAAAGAATTGGTATCGGCCAAAATCGGCTCAGGCTTTTTAAAATCAGTAATCTGCGATTGGCTAGAAAACTGCAATCTGTGCACCCCTACTGTGTGTCCAGGGCTCTTACTTGTTGAGTTTGACTTGCTGTCTGTTTGTTTTCTTCAGTCTGTCTGGAGGCGAGTGGGATGAGGAGACTTTAAAAATGCTAACTCAGTTTGTGCCAAACTTCAGCATCACTGACAGGATCATGTAAGTCAAAACTCCATTCAGTAAGAACAACATACATGATAATTATGGAAATAAACAGCAGCGTTTTGTTGTTTTTTGTTTCCTGTCAGATTGAATGACAGCTGCTCGTCAGTTCAGAGTGCGGTGATTCTCACCGCTTTGCTTTCTGACTGTCTGTCTGTCATGGAGATGAACATCAGGTACAGAAAATGACTTTTTGCACTAACTAAATGTGGAATCACATTACATCGTGTTTGAGTTAACCCATAACAGGTTTCAATGCAGCTAACTGTAATCTGAGATCACAGACCTGAAGTAGTTTCATATAATCTGGTGTTGTTGCTGCTCAAACTTTACTTTTCTTTACTTCTCAGGCTGCAGGATCCAGTCCAGGTGTCTGTTGTGTTTTCTGGAGGGAGAGAAAAAACTGCAAATGTTTCCTCTAAAACACTCTGGTTTGTATGGAGATTTAATTTCAGAACAATATATATTTATTATTATTTAAGTGTTAACTATTTTACCTGAACATTAGATAGGCATAGCTGTTTTTGAGTTGGGTTTACCTCTAATGGAGGTTTAGTGATTTTAGTTCACAGACGACCGACTCCAATCACTGAAAGCAACCGTCCTACAACGTTTAGGGAGGATTCACATCTTCACTGTTTAGTTTGCTGTAATCCAACTCTAGTCTGGTTCATTTAGGGAGGTGTGAATGCAGCAATCCCTCATGCTGAGCATGCATGTAGTGTCCGTCTATTGACAATAAAAACTTAAATCTGCTTCCTGTTTCAGCCTCAGCTGCTGTAATCTTCAGCCCATCGACCTGGAAAGAGTTTGGAGAAGTTTGGGAGCGTCGTCTGATCTCTCTGATTTGGAGTAAGACTCAAAAACACATAAAACGAGAAACCAACAAGGTTCCACTGAATACATCAAAAATAACTACTGCCTCTTGTTTATTATTTTCAGCTTGTCCTGCAACAAGTTAGGCGACAAAGGACTGAAGAAGTTGTTGGACTTCTTGCCTCGTCTAAGCAAAATCCAACGAGTAGAGTAAGTTAATGAGCTAATCTGAGGACATTGCAAATCTGCTGGGTAGCTTCATTGTAAACTGGATATAAATACTAGGAATTTGTTGTATGAGTGAAGTTTCATCTTTGCTTCAGAGTGACCTGCTGTGCTTCCTTGAAAAGTTTGGGATAGATTTATGGGTTGTACAAAACAAGTTTGTTAAATTTTTTTTTGCACAAAATCTTAAAGATTTTAGTCTGATCAGTTCTAACTATTTTGAGCTCCTTTCAGAATTAACTGTTTTAACTCTGTCACTTTGCATCCAACTAAGCTGCTCAAAATGACTGCAAACAGATGTGCAATTATGCAACTGTACATCTTTGAAAAGCAGAAGTGGAGCCTCCAGCGCAGCCAGCAAAAAATTAAAACATTTCCCACTCCCTTCCACCCCGGCTTTTCCAGCGGTAAAACCACCTGACCAAATAAATGTGCTGGAGTTGCATGTGGGTTGCTAGGTAAAGGGGCGTGGCTGGGGTTGCTAGGTAACGGCTCAGTGACTACATTCAGAAAGTTTTTGAAACAGTTCATTTTCCAGACACCAAAAAGCAATAACGTTTTACTAAAAAACAGCTGGATGTTTTTTTTTTAAATGCTTGATTTGTTTTTTAGAAAGCAGTAAAACCCAAATGGAAGTACAAAAATGTGCAAAATGTAGATTTTGAATAATAGGCCCCATATATTCTTCATGTTCATTCTATGTGGTTTTGTTGCATAAACAATGGGAAGGAAACCCAGGGCTGAACCAAACCGGTTCTGAACAGGTTTCATGTTGTGACCTCTGTGGTTTGGTTTCATGATTCACCATGATTTCTGTGTTTTTCAGTTTCAGTGGGAATGACGTCTCGGTGGACGGAGTGGTCATGCTGGCGGATGCATTATGCTCCAGCAACAGGTTAACGCACGTTTACATCAGGTATCGTCTAATTTTCGATTTTATCTGAAGCATCAAACATTAATGTTTTTTGTTGTCATTGTTTAATGACAACAACCTGTCATTAAACAATGCCAAAAAATAGCTGCATGGTTTTATTTAAAGCATTTTTCTGTTTTTAGAAGCACTAGAACTCCAAATGAAAGTACAAAAACTTTAAGTTTGCATAATGGCTCTCCATTTGATCTGTTTTCAATAACTATTTTTATAACATAAAATCACTGCATTATTTGTTTTTCTGCTCTTGAAGTGATGGAGGAAAAGACCAGGTGATGCTGCAGTTCAGCTCTGACACAAGGTAGAAAAAAATTTCCAGTAAAATATTTTATATTTACTATAAAGGTTTACAGTTTAAAATGAATATACTATACTTACTTTTCTCTCATTTTAGTAACAGCAAACTAAGGACAAAGTTATTCAGGTACAGTCAGCTGAAGCACAGTTTTGCAACCATTTAAAGGAACAAATTACTAGAGTTTGTTTTTGTGTTTTTCAGAATTAACAGAAGATCCCTGACAGTGTCAGATGTAAACAAAGTGTGCAGGAAACTGGTCCAGTGTCGCACCAGTTTGGAGCTAGAGTGAGCTTAATGATTGCGTATCCATGAGCTTTTTATTCATAACATGAGTGTGCAGATGCATATTTATGATCTTCTGTGTTTTAGGTTTACTCAATGCTCATTCGCTGAGAAATCTATCGAAAATCTGCTGAGAGTGTTGCCAAAGATGTCAACGCTGCAGAGACTAAAGTGAGACTTCCACATCTACACAGAAACCAAAAATGATTTTTGTTCATTGAATGTTTCACAAAAGTTTAAACTTTTACTTATTAACAATGAATTAAGTTAACAGTCAATTCAGTCGAATCTCAAAAGTCCCAGAATTTATCCGTTGTTCTGAAAAGTTTGTCAAAGTTCCAGGAAGTGAACGATAAGTCCCATAAAGTAAAGATCTGGAAAGCATCATGTCACAATTGAGCTCATATTAAAACCCATTCCCCTGAAAATACTGTTTATGTTTCGAAAAAAATTTTGTGTTTTCCAGGAAAAAGAACCTCCAAGTTCTAGAAAGCAACTTGTAATGTTCCAGAAAAACGTTGTATATTTCATAAAGATGCAGAAAATCACTAGTAATTTTGAAAAAAAAAAAAAGTCTTGAAAGTAAACAGAAAACTAACATTTTAGGAAAGTATCAGATTACAATCCGCCTGGTTGCAAAAATTTCTTTCTAAGTCCCAGGAAAGTAAGTTGTAAGTTCTGTGAATATATCATAAATGTTTTCCAAACTATCCAGAACATTTCAGGAAGGCAAACTGGAAGCTATGAGGAGTATTAACAAAAAGTAACTTCTGGAAAGTACCATCTGCGCTCTGACAGTGAAGTAAAATGCACTCTGACTTCTGAAACAGGCAAACAAACAAAAAATTAAAATAAATGAGCAAAATTCACCGGGTAGAAAAAGTTCCTGTTTCCTGTTTTACACATAAAAACCCCAAACCCCCAAAACATAAAAGCATCAGTAAACACCGAATAAGGTCCAAAGGTGTTTTTTTTAAATTTTTTTTATTTTTTAGGTTTTTATTATTTTGCAACAGAATTAACTAGAATTATTATTTGCAAGAACTTTGTTGAATGTGAATCAACAGATTATTGACATAATGTTAAAAATTAAAAAACAAACCAAAACTTTCTCATATGTATTTTTGTCTTTTTTAATTGCATGTTTGTGGAGATTAATGTGTAATATGACAAAATACCAGAGAATACAAAGCTAAGCTTCTTCCTACTTGTTTCATTTAAGTCACATGTAACGTTACTGTTGGTTTTACCTGCTGTAATAAGTTTTAGATAAATATTTATCAAAGTATCTTTATCTGTAGCTTTGTGGCTAATTAATTGCTCTTCCTTTGTTCTTAGTGTTAGTAACAGCATCCAGTCCACTTGTGATGCGTTAACGCTGATCAGCTGTTTCCCTGAAAACCATCGAGTCTCATCCGTGGAGCTCAGGTATTGCTTCAACATGTCTCCAAGGAGACAATGGATGAAAGTGTTTTTATATTTTTATGCGTAATATTTAAAGACTTTTTTAAAAATTGTGTCATTGATGCCATTTAGTTCATTATTGCTTGTGACTCTGTAGTCCACAGGGCGAATCCTTCATTCATTTTGCTGGAGTTAAAGCAGAACAAGTCAACTGCAGGTGTGTGAACCGCAGCCGTAAACTTCTCTAAACGCTTTTATTTCGGTTTTCTGATTAACTCGTTATAACTGTAGATTCATCTTCGTCTGGTTTCACTTTTCATTCCCCTGCTGCTGTATGTGTGTGTGTGTGTGTGTATGCGTTTGTGTGTGTGTGCGTTTGCGCGTGTGTGTGTGTGTATGCATTTGTGTGTGTGTGCGTTTGCGTGTGTGTGAAACTGTCCTGCACTCACTTGGTTTAAACAGGAAGTAGTATCCAGTTTATTTTGAAAGTCCTGCACTCATTGCTGCACCTCCCTTCAGTTAAACATGTCCATGTTTGGTATCCATGTTCACATCAGACTCCAGGAGCTGATAAAATGTGAGTGTGAGTTGAGCAGGAAGGATTTGAGTTTTTCCTCTAGGCTGCATCACAGATGTCAGTGACCAGGCAGGAAACAAAAAGACATTGTATGGAACTCTGATAGTGCCAAAAAAGCATATATTTTTGGTGATTCTATTTTATCTTTCATACCTGTCAAGTCTACTGTTTCTTACTCCCCTTTCCTGCTGTGCTCCCATTTTCCTACAAATATCTCATATTACTCCCAGTATCGTTTTTTTATTAGGTAGAAAAAATAAATAAATGTTTGTATTTTAAAACAGAAAAACAAAAAGAAGCAATTTTAGACATGTAAAAGTAAGTTTAGTTAGTAAAAACACAGCAAATCTCCAGTTTTGTAGATGATGCCAGTCTGTGCCAAGGGAAAACACCT